CCATGGACACAGTTGTGCTCACTCATAACCTCTTTCCACTGCCTGCTATAGCTTATATTCCCTCTCCATATCAGCCTGTCAACTTCTGAGGGGATCCACCCACAGACCACAGAAGTTGTTGTCACATAGTAATGGGAAGAGTTGGACCTATTGTCAGCAGTGATTCCCCCACTTCTCAAAGCCAAAGACCATTTCTCAGCAATTCTAACATGCTCCATTTTTTCACGTCTAACATCTCTAAAATCAGGACATTATCTTGCCACCAATGCCTCTTACTAACCAGCTGGCATCAAGTTGATTCTGATCCCATGTTTGACAGAGTAAAATTGTGCTCCAGAGGGTTTCCAATGGCTGACTTCAGAAACAGGTTTCCAGAGCTTTCTTCTAAGGCATCTCTGGGTAGACTCCAACTGTCAACTTTAGGTCAGCAGCAAGCATATTAGCTTTTTGACCACCCAGAGACTCCTGTGTTTCACTAGCAGAACTTAAATTAATGGTACATCTTCAATCAGTGCAATATTAATTTGATCAAATTGACTTCAGATTTCACAAAGGTATCCAAAGAAAGAGTTCTTTGGTCACTAACAAGTTGTATATTACCATTGTACAAAAAGCACTTTCCCATACAGGCTTACCTAATCCAGGTCATTACACAAAGCCTTCTCATAGGCCAGCCTACTAGTGTCAGTCTAATGCAGCATAAGTCACATACTCCCAGACTGAGCATGTGGGGCTTCTGCTGAGATTGCTGCAGCAGACAGTGAACACTCAGTACCCACTATCAGCTTTCACAGAATGCTCCATCTGCCCTTCCAGGTTATTTTCCAACAAACAGAACATTTCCAACAAACTTGAAAGACACACTAGAGAAATCATAGCAAAAATCAAAGGATAAAGCAAAACTTGCATAACCAAGGAGTATAAATGGGGAGAAGCCATGGTGATGCAGTAGTTAAGCTCTTGGCTGCTAACCAAAAAGTTGGTAGTTTGAACCCACCAACTGCTCCTTGGAAGAAAGATAAGGCAGTCCGTTTCATAAACTCTAAGGGGCAGTTCTACTCTGTCAGAATCAACTCAAAGGCAATGGGTTTTTTGTTTGGGGTATAAATAAGGAAACCTCTATGAATAGCAACCTCCTAAAACTTAAGGGGTCTGAAAAAAATTGGAAAAGCTATACATAATTTACGCAAAAGAACGTAGTAATTTTTACAAAGGCATGAGACACTGAAATTTCCACAATTCTTTCTAATGCAAACCAGTTTTATTCAAACTATATAACTTACGTACAAAGAAACACTCTAAAATTATCTCCCCAGGCCTCCCACTGCTGGCCATTCAAATTAAAGTAAACCTCAAAAAAGTCAAACCAGCTGCTGCCAAGTTGACTCCAACACATGTGATGTCTATATTACAGAGTAAAACTGTGTTCCATAAGCTTTCAAAGGATGTCACCTTTCAAAGTAAATGGCCAGGCTTTTCTTCCAAGATGCCACTGGGTGAAGTTGAATCTCCAAGCACGTTAACCATGTGCTCCATCCAAGCTATCTCAAAACAACAGGGACTTAGAACAAACAAGATGGCAGATCAGGTGGAAGTGCACTGAGGAGCTCCACGAGCAACACCACAAAATACTGGACCAAGCACGCTCACAGGCTGGTCCCAGAACTGTGAACCACATATAAAGGATTATTTATAAGGTTGGAAAGCTTACAACTGGGGAATTCACGGCAGGAGCAAGAAATACACTGCTTTCTAGTTTGGAACGCTCAGCTGCTCCAGGAGCCACCATCTTGGGTGAGACCAAGCAGGGGAAGAATCGGAGTGGCCACAGACACTCAGCAGAACTACGGAGATAAAGGTGTGGACATTCTTTTCTTTTGATACCTGTTCATTGGTCCCTTGCTGTCTGAGCCCCTCCATTCTGTTAACTATAGGGGTGCCTGAGCTAGTGGACACCCCAGCCCCACCCTCAGAGGGTTCTACTACACATGCGCACAGATCTCCTCAAAATTTAATGAGACCGTTTCCAATTAAAACCAAATGGCCACAGCCACCCTGAACTGTTTATAACTAGAAAAAGGGCCTGAATGGGGATTGTAGAGCAGGACAAGCAGACAAAAAAGGAAACAGGCCGAAAATTAAATCCTAAATTACGTCAAAAAGACCAACAGTGGCATCTTGAAACTTCTCAAGAAGAAGAGTGAAAAGGGAAGCCCATTTCCTGATCACATCTACCTGGAGGCAATCAGAAAGCAGAAAAAAAATACCAAAATACA